ATGCTCAAAGAAGATGTGGAGGAAGTCCTCACAGTTGCTGCTTCACACCAAGGCGGTGAATTTAGTTAGCGCACCAACGCTAGCACAAGCTGCTATTTCACTTCCTGCCTCTTCATCAGCCAGGATAATCCCTCCTGTGGGCACCCTGACCCACAACTGCTGGAAAGGGAATTCTGGGAAAGAAGTTTGGCCTGGCTTAGTCGACACATTACAAAGCTACCACAAGGGGGCAGATCTCTGGGAATGTGATTGGGATTGCATGGAATCTATAGAATTGACATCTTAACACAGAGACCTCCAATGCATGAATATGGTATATCTCTCCATGTATTTAGGTCTTCTTTATTTTCTCTTAGTAATGTTTTCGATGTATGGGTCTTATACAGCCTTTGCAAGATGATGATGTGGAATGCTGTTTTCAGAGACAGATTTCTAGTAATATTATAGATAACAGCAAACACTCTATAATGCTTACTGTGGGTCAGGCACTCTTCATAAGATATGTAGATATAAATATAAAAAACTCATGTAAGCCTCACAACCACACATGAGGAAGCTCTATTATTCGCTCCATTTTATGCCTATAATTTGACTAAGTATTTTGCCAAATGTCATAATCCAGCAAGTGGCGGAAGCAGGCAGTTGCCCCCCGAGTCCCTACTCCCATCTTTTAATAGCTACCAATGTTCACACAATTGTCCTACCACATAGAAAATCAAGACTGATACTCTCTGAACGTAAGGTTTTAACCTTATGTTCAGGTTCCTGGAATCAGTTCTTTGAACTAGTTTATGCCACACAGCAATTGCTCAATTGCTCCCGGGAGCGGGGACATCCTCACCTTTGTCTTCCATTATTCCGTATTTAGGAAGGTTTGCAAATTCTTGAGAAGGAGGCTGTGGTGCTTCCTTTAGTTAGCAGGAAAGCCAATAGCAGACTGTGAGAACCAAAGCTGAAGCGGAGAAATGGAGTGAGACGTGAATAAGATTTCTCTTGAAAAGAGCTTAAAACAAAGACCCCACTTTCATCTACTCCTTAGTAATCAGAAAAATACAAATTCAGACCAATACAATAGCTTCTTCCCATGTCAGACTGGAAAAGATTTAAGATGTTGATTGAATGGGTAAATGAGTACTGTCGTGAGGAAGGAACAGAATTCCGGTGAAGCTGCGTTCCAGTGGCCTAGGCTCTCCTCAGGCCCCTCACGGCCTCCTCAGCTCTGCCACGGTCACCACGCCCACAGCCAATGTCATCAAAGGAGGACTAATAAAGGAAGTGCAGTGAGCTCACCTGGTGGAATACTATACAGCAATGAGAACTGATGATCTGCAACTATAAGAAACAGGACACT